AAATTTTGCAGTAGCTGCATAAAAGATGTAAAAATAGGTGTAACTCTAAATAATTATGAATAGTAATAATTGATAATGTATCAAATAAAATTATCACTAATAATTACTTAGTTCTGGTGGCATAGTGCCTAAGGCATTTGACTGCTAACCAGAAGGCTGGTGGTTCAAACCCACCATACATCCAAAATTGTGTCACTTCAACAGGTCCATTATTTTTTAATATAAGTCTTTGAATTCCCATATGCATTTTACACTTAATTAGCTTCATTCCAAGTGTTCTATAGCCACATATGATGACTGGCTGTTAGACAGTCTAACCTTAGTGTTCGTAAAATATCAGGTTAAACACGTAGAGACTTTGAGTATTAAGCTATCAAAATCCTATCCCAAGTACTTTCTTCTAGGTGAGATGCTGCGATATTCGGGAAGAAACCTCAACTTCATTTATTAAAAATGGCATTTTACCACCTGCTGAAATAGCAGCCCATCTCTGCCTTGATTGCTCTTCTCTGTATGAGAAGACCTTCACATCTTTGTTTTCTTTGTAATAGATTACCAAGCATTCTTAATTTGAAGAACTATCCTTTGCACGAGTTTCTTGGTACGAAGAATCAGGAAGATGAGCACTAAATCAAAGCTGGAAATATTTGCTCTTACACGTGAAATTCCAGATTTATGACATGGCAGGGCTGCCCCAGTCAGGCCTCTTCTGAGCTGGCCTGGATGGCTGCAACAGATTCCTGCCTATTTGGCTGCTTTTTACTTGATGAAATGTGTTTCATAACTTTTAAAGTAACTCAAAAATCCAAGTAAATAACAGAAATCACAACAGGCACCAATGAAGCAGTTATTGGTTATGGGAGAATGCCCGGGAAACAGGCCAGTGGAACTGTGAAACATAAAACTTGACATAAATGCATTTTAGCTGTTAGGACAGGGCTTTGAAAAGCAACTACAAAAGAAAATTTTCTAAACTTGAAAATAACATAAATCTCCAGGATTTTTGTATGATGAAAATAACACCAATGTTAAAGAGCCGCATAGTCACATTTGTATTTTTCCCAAAATCAATTATCAATGTGAAATAAATACCTACAAATTATGAGATTATTGTTTTGCAGCATTTCAAAACTATCAGCAACTATTTGTTAAGCGCAGATTATGATTTTAAAACCTGAAAAACCAAACCCACTGCCATTGAGTCAATTCTGACTCATAGCAAGCCCCATAGGTTTTCCAAGGCTATAGATCTTTATTGAAGAACCTCATTTTTCTCCTGCAGAGCGGCTGGTGGCCACTGACCTTTTGATTAGTAGCCCAATACCTTAATCACAGTGTGACCATAATGTCATACCCTTATGATATTAAAAGCACCTTAAAATTACGTATTCTTTATAACCTAATAATGCTTTCATGTCAGACTCACTCCTAAGTGCTTAGTATTATAATGTTATTTAATACTGACAACCATTACCACTAATGGTCTAATTATTTAATCCCCATTTTTCACGATAAAAAGGAGGCAGAGAAAGATGAAATAATTCACCCAAGGTTACGCAATTAAGAAGAGATTTGAATCCAGACTGGGTCCCAGAGCTCTTCACTGCTTTCTACTGACTAAGACAGCACACTACACAATGACAGTGCTAACATCTGTAATGTTGACTACATCAATTAAACGGATTTATTTACACAAGGTACTGGGAATGATTCTGCATACAATATATAAAAAAGTATGAAACCGATGGTCCACTTAAGTAGCTTCTAATCTAATGAGTAAATAGCTTCTAATCTAATGAATGTTAAGATGATAACATAGTTTGGGTCATGGGTTGTTTTACTCATGAAAGAATCATGATTCAGAGACTCTTGGAAGGACAGGGCAGGGACAGCAAGACTTCTTACACATTCCAACTGGATCTTAAAAACTAAGGGCGGATTTTATAGATAGCTTGATGGAAGCAAGTAGCATTCTTTGGAATGAACAATAAGAATGAAGTTGGAAGTCATAGGTTTAAAATCTTCCAATCTCCAAGTTAATTTATGTTTTTGAAATTTTTTAAAAAATCTGTTATCAGGGGCATCCAGTAAGAACATATGATTTTCGTTAGCACTTTTTCAGTAAAGATTTGAACCTATTTAAGTTAGCTCAAGCATAAAACAGATTTTTTTGAAGGCTACTGGGGTAAAAAATTTCATAAACTGTTAGAGCTTTAGGGACTTTAGGAATGGGAACTGGGACTATGATTGGCTCAGTCTGGGCCACTTGTCCACTGATCATGGACTACAACTGGTAAGGCCTAAGCCTATGATCAATGAGGTGAGAATGTGATTGGCAACCAGATCATGGATTTCACAAAAGGGCAGACTAAAGAACAAAAAACTAATCAAAGTTAAGAAAGTGCTAATTAAAAAGAAAAAAAAAAACCAAAAAACCCAGCATTAGCCAACACAAATCAGCACTTCCCATGTTCTTTCTAGGCACTAAGTACATCCCATGTACTTACTGCATGTGGTACAATGCTTGGAGGAAAGCCCAGGCCATGCACAGAGCGCTATTTGGATACAGGGTAGGGCAGCAGTGGGGTGGGGCCACATGATGAAGAGACTTGCACCTGAGGCTGAGTTATATTTAATTTTATTTATGTCAGAGCCAATGAAAGTCAATGCACAAAAGGCAACGCACCCACAGTTCTCTACTAAAATAACCTGAATGAGTAGAAGAACAAATGACAGGTGGGGAGTGTAATCAACAAGCAATTTCTAGGGTGACTTAGGCAAACACCAAAGTTTAGGAGATGACAGAGCTAATGGAAAACAAAACAAAAATGTGTGTCGACTGAAAAAGCAGACCTGTCACACAGCAAATGGCGGTTTGGTAGAGATGGAGATGAGGCAGAGTTGAAGATGGCTAAGAAGTTTGCTACATGAGGGATGAAATGAATGACGATTTGTTAATTGCCGTTGATTCTTACTCACGGTGACCCTGTGTGTTACAGAGTATAACTGTTCCATAGGGTTTTCCTGGCAGTAATCTTAATGGAGAGGAAGCCCTGCTGGCACAGCGGTTAAAGTGCTCAGCCGATAACGGAAAGGCTGGCAGTTCCAATCAACCAGCTGCTCCACAGAAAGATGTGGCAGTCTGCTTCTGTAAAGATCACAGCCTCAGAAACCCTATGGGCCAGATCTACTCTATGAGTCATATCTACTCCGAGTCAGAAACAACTTGACGGCAAGGGGAATCGCAACGGCAGCAGAATGCCAGGTCTTTTCTTCTGTGATCAGCAGAAATAGTGTGCACTACCTAGGGACCTTATGATAGCAGCTAAAATGGCAAAGTCTGGGGTAAGAACTGGCGTAAAGGGAGAATGATGGTGAATTCGGCAGTGGCCATACTAAGCTGAAGTAAGCAATGAATTCTCAGAAGAGAATGTCAAGCAGGAAGTTCCAAATGTGACATCATATGTCAAGAAAACTTAGGGTTGGGGAAAACTCAAGCTTCTCAAGTAGAGGAAACTATAAAAAGATAAAAGTATGGAGAAAGAAGAAAATAGATATATGACAGGTTGACATTCAACTCCCAACGCAACACATATCTTTAGCCAATAGGTTTGTAAAATTTTAAAAATTTAAATTTATTAGGATTTATTAGTAACACAATTGCACAGAATAAAGTTCAGGAATTCATCAAAGATGGTCACAAATATGTGCTTCTTTGTGGATTTTTAAACCATATTTCTTATGATTCAAATTTATTCATAATGTAGTTGTTTCATACACAGCTTCACAATGTGGACGTTACAGGTCCTCCATCAGTAAAATCAATGAAAAACAAATCATTCATGAAAGGCACATAAAGAATTTCAACACATTTAAGGAATTTCGATAACTTTGAATTTCTTTACATTATAGCAAAGAAAAAATGAATCCCCCAAATGCAACAGATATAACTGTAGTTTATGGTTACAACTCCCTCCCCCAACACACATACATACATACTTCAACAATTACAAAACGACAGTACATAATTTAATTTATAAACTACTTTCTAGTGAAGCTTACTGAAAGACTAACTTTTCCAAACTGAATTAAAAAAAAAAAGGGTGGGTGGGTGTGTGGGGTGGGGTAGGAAATGCTGCTAGTTTTGCCAAAACAAGTTCAGAGAGACATTATGAACAATCAAAAGAAAAATGATTCTATCAAAGTTCATTATCTAGCTAATATGTAACACTTATTTGAGCATACATATAATCACTGACTTTAATAAATACTACTCATTTTCTAAGTATAACTGCCCATTTCATTCCTCAGAAATAATAGCTCATATTCAAATGAAATACTACAGACTCAAGCATGTGGAGGACATTTGAATAATCTATAAGTGAAGAAAGTGATCTGAGCACAGTATGATAATTAAACTTGAAACTAGTGACATATATGAATTTCAAGCTTGCATTAATCAGAAGGTTATTCAAAAATCTTTCTTGCTATCTTCAAAACAAAGGACTATCATGTAAGCCAGGTACAAGGGATTTCCCAAAGGAAATACACAAATGAATGTCTCAAAATTCATTATGCTGACTTTTTTTTTTTTTTTAGCCCACAAAAAACTCTCAACATCCACCTAAACTGTGTTTTAAATAAAAACATAGTTATTGAAAGAGTATAAAAATTAATCTGGGCATCGCCTTTAAGGCAATGCATGGATATCATCCAAATACTAATATTCAAAGTGAAAATAAATCAACTGAATAAAAATTAAGAGTATACAATAAGTCTAACAGAGTATATTCTGAAAAATCTGAACTTTTAGTTTTCCGAACAAATCCAAGGTAGAACTGAAGCAGCGTGCAGTCTTAAAATAAAACAAAAATGTAATGTAACCATGTTTAAATAATTGATCCAAAGGCAGGTATATTCATCTTCTTAGGAACATCTCAGTAAAACACATTAACTGTAAAGAATAAGTCATGTTATTAAAATAGTGTGTGCAATGTTTGTACAAATAACATTTTTATGATTACAAGTATACATATAATCAAGATAAAGTCCCATAACGTTTCCTAATATTGATTTCTATACTTAAAAATTTAGAGGACATGGACATAAATAAAGCTGTTTAAAACTGGCAAATATGGCAATAATCTGTCATTCAGTACAAGTTACTCAGTATTTCTGTTATTTCCAAAGCCATTCACACTAGAATCTTGAGCTGTCGTTCTTAAAACCTAAAATAATGTGCAAAACTAAACTTATAAATACATGTATACATACATTTGCATATTTACACTTTCGCAGAAATCATCAATACACTAGAGCCCAGCTTGAACACTGTCCTTCAGTTTCACACTGCAGGACCATCTTTCACATTTAAGAAAGGTTCTTCTGTTAGTTTCAGTTAAAAAAAATAAAAAATAAAAAAAAAACAGAACAACTTTGGTCAGGTCCCAGAGGCATTTGCTGTATACTACATTCTGTGTTGCTGCAAGACTCTAGTCTAGAGAGATCCACATGTTAAGTACTCATTTGGTTTGAAAAATGCATTTCACCATTGACTGCACAACTTAGAAGAGGCCACAATCTTTTAGATTATTTTTTATGATGACATCTGTTACAGCATCAAAAACAAACTGCACATTCTTAGTATCTGTGGCACATGTGAAGTGGGTGTATATTTCCTTTGTGTCCTTTCTTTTATTGAGGTCTTCAAACTGGCACTGAATATATGCAGCGGCCTCTTCATATGTGTTTGATCCTGAGGTGGGAAAAAGGAAAAGAAACAATGTGAAGATGTGAAGTTAAAACGAGTATACTGCTAAGAAATATGGACCTTAAAATACTGATGGAAGTGTCATATATGTAAAATATGTAGACTCTGTATTTGCATTTTCCCTTCTGGAACTAGAGAAATTGTTTCTTCTACATGAAAAACACCAAATGTTAATTACCCTTTGATGACTGTAAGTTACCCTAAAATAAAAAATAATCTCCTTTTACATGGCATTCAATGTTCTCCACAATTTTTGTTCCTGCCTAAATCTCCATATGTCAGATCCCTTATGTTTCCCCTTATCCTCAGTCCTCCACATCTCAACACTAAACTACCCATAGTTCCTGCAGTGGCATGCTAATTCAGTTCTAGCCCAGTACCTAGTCAATAAATGCTGGCTGAAAGCTAACCAAAATTTTTTGGTTTTTTTTTTTTTTGCAAACATGTTAGTATTTCATATTCATTTTGCTTTATTCAAAAATTGTATAAAGGTTAGTACTAGGAGGTTAAATATGTGAATGACACAGTCCTAGTCATGTGGTTACTCATTAAAGACTTTCTCTGACTACAAACACTCCAGAAATAGTTTGGCACAATCCAAAGCTAATCACATGCATACTCTGTAACCAAGCATTTCAGCTTCTAGGTGTACACCTGATAGAGCTGTGTGCTTATGTTCACCAGAAGACACACACAAGAATTTAAACAGCAGCACTACTACCTTATGAAACAACCTAAGTGCTCATCAATTGCAGACCAGCTAAAACAATATGGCAGGCCACTGATTCAAGTCTACTGAAAGTTCCAAGGTTGGCAGAGCAGGGCAGGCTACTGAACAACAACACAACTACATGCAGAGTTCAAGCGTGCCATAAGCTAGAGACTATTCACAAAGCTGCTTCTTATATAAGGGAAGCAGACCACATCCTTAAAGCAATTACTCAGCTGCTCCAATACATTCCACTATGGAGTTAATTACCGGTCTCGCCATGGGGAATAACTACATCCAGCTGCCCAGCCACTCAACCAGGCCTAGCCAAGTTGACACACAAACTTAACTATCACAGTCAATAAAACAAAGGTAACATTTTTCTGGTATTCTCTTCTTTCAGCCAAGATCTAGCTGACATCAGCAATGCTATCCCTCATTCCATGTCTTCTTCTGAATCCTTTTTGAATTTCTGGAAGTTTCCTGTCGATACACTGTTGCAATCATTTTTTAATTATATTCAGGGAAAGTTTACTTGCAAGTGATATATAACACAGTGGCCTAAATAGGACCATGAAATAGAGAGTGCTGAAAGACTGATTACATGACAGTAGAAGACAGAACCTAATGAAATGACAACACACAGATAAAATGAAAAGGAGAAGGAAACAAGAACAGACAGAAAGGGAGAAGATAAACCAAGGGAGCAGTTTAGAGGCTCCATAGGGTTCTTTTATAGGAAGCAACAGCCCCTGGAACTCAGAGGTGAGGTTGAAGTAAGAGGCACCTGATCACTACTTAGGGCATGCAATGGAGATTTTAAATTTTAACAGTGGAGATGTGAAAGGTTATGTACTACTATCTTTTTTGTGCAAAGATTCTGAGATCAGGGATTCTGTGAATATATGTAAAAGTTCTTGATCACATTGTACAACTAGCAGGGAGAGAGCTAACAATATATTTTTGGTTACTCTGAAATCCCTACAGGCATATAATATTTATGGATTCATTTGGGGACTCCGGTGATACTAATTAGTACAAAATGGCCACTTCACAATACAAAGGATAAAAATAAACTGAAATGTAGTCTCAATAAGGTCAAAATTGAGCCACCTTGTCTTTGGATAGCTTCAATTTTGGACAGAAAACTATAGTAAAATTATAAATAAATTTATAATTTTATTCCTAATAAGCACTGAAAATGTTTCTTAATAAGATATGATGACTTTCAAAATGAAGAAAAGTTTAAAGAATAAGCAACTGTGTGAAATTATTTTGAATGGAAGTATAACTTTGTAATACACAGAAAGCGCTATACTACTAGGTCCTATGCGAGGACTCATAAGATTAGGACCTATCACAGGACCTAATAGTATATATAGCACTTTGTGTGTAGTCTATCTGTTAGTTTAGAAGGTGAGTAGATGTCTCATTTATTGTGCATTACACAGCTCCTGACATGTCATTGATAAAAATTATCTAACACCTTTTTCATAAAATGAGTATGTTATTTTCAGCAATTTCATTCACAACTCAAGGAACTACTGGTAAAAACTTTTCATAATGTGCTTGAATAAAGTTTGATAATTTCCCTTAAAGGTATGAATTACTAAGCCACAAGTTAGAAATCAATGAATAAAATCTTGCCTTAAGGGAATTTTCACTTATAAATACATGATTTCACGAGTTTTCTATAGGATGTAAATACCTGCATATTCTGGATAGCATATAGTAAGAGGGCTCTTTTTGATTTTTTCTTCAAAGAGATCCTTCTTGTTTAGGAAAAGTATAATAGATGTATCTGTAAACCACTTGTTGTTACATATGCTGTCAAACAGCTTCATGCTTTCATGCATTCGATTCTGTAATAGAAAAAAAAAATACAACCAGTTTGTCACTAACAGCAAAGATTGTGACAAATATTACATTTTAAAAATAATAGAGTGTCCTAATGAAATGGAGTTTAGTAAGTTGAAAAATAAATATCACAAAAATACATTTCTGCCATTTGAAAATGAGCATATTTTGCTTTCAGGGGAAATGAGTGTCTAACTAACCATCATTAACCCTTTTTGCATTCAACCAGTACCTGCCTGGTGCCTACCACATGGTATGTGTGGTGCCTGGGATATCCTGCTACATAGATTTACAATCAAGGGGTGCTCAGTGTGGACACTGGAAAAGATACATGATTGTTATGGAGTTTATCTAAACTTGTACTAAAAAAATAAGTAATGAATATTAAACATTAATAGATAGAACAAGTTGGAATTCAATTAGCCCCAACACTCTCAACATAATGGTGTATCAGGAAAGGAGACACCCAATTCCTGCGCCCTGCCCTTCAAGTCTCTGTGGTTTCTGAGAGCACTGCTGTACTCTGCAGTGCCAAAACGAGGGAAATGAGTGATGGTGCTGATCTGAACCTTTTGCAGTATTACTGCCTTAAAAAATATTAAACTGACATTTCTTCCTCCTTTTTTGTCCAATTTGTATTACAATTAATTTTAAATGACAAAATTTTAAGTTACTATTTAAAAATATTTCCTTCAGACTCATGACACATTTAAACACATCTGAAAATTTCATGGCAGCAGCAAAGCATAACACACATCAGAGATGACCAAGCTCTGACAGAAGTAACAAGTTATGAAAAGTGAGCCTGGGAGTATTATAGAACTAATTTTCTTTTCCTTCAATCACGGATACCAGCTACAGGAAAGGCAGAGGTATGTATATCGGGCTAGGGTGAGACCAGCTGTCAATCTTTTCCTTTTCCTCAGGACCCAACTGTGATTCATCAGTCTACTTTCCTTTTAGTATAGAAACAGAAAACTTAGAGGAAGGGCTGAACTTCAAACTCTTGGCAACGTCTCTAGTTCTTTGTATTTCACGCTAAATCTGTAAAAGTGGTTCTACTTGCCATTTCCTCATCTTCAGCTAGAACCAGGTCATAGTCACTAAGTGCTACACAGAAGATAATCGCAGTCACTCCTTCAAAGCAATGAATCCACTTCTTCCGCTCAGATCTCTGTCCTCCCACATCAAACATTCTGTAAGAGGAAAAACAATGAGTTGACATCAGATTAAATGTGTTCAAAAGCTCTGAGATGTCTGTAATGTCAACAAAATAGCTCCAAAGAGCTGGGAGAACGTGGGATGGGAAGAAAGGAGAAAGGGGAGAAAAACAATGTCAGAAATCTGTTTCACAATGAGGAAAAAAAGCCTGCTTTTTTTTTTTTTTTTTTTGGAGAGAACATGAAAATAATTACAAATGAATGGACTGCAAACTATGTGTAAACACTAAGAAGTCACATTTAGCAATGGAGGAATGCAGAGATAATAGAGCACATGCAATTTGCCGGTCACAGAACATTAGTGGCAGAGGACATGGCCCCCTCTTTCCACTACAAGACGTTGTTTTCAATCAGAGGCAATGACCAGGACATTGACATAAAGGAGAAGCCACTTCAGGTGAGAAAACCCAGGGCAAGTAAGTCAAATTCAGACAAGGGACAAAATGGTTTGCAAATCAAAAAATAAAGCTAGAGAAAAGGAGAGTTGAAATATGAAATGGGTGGCTCTACTAAAAACCCCTGAAATTGAGGGTGAAAGCTATTTTCAGACAATTTACAATATGGGACCACTGTAGGTTAATGAACAAGGTAGAAACACAATCAAGATTGTATAAATATTGTCTCTTTTTCTTACAAGAGCTTATAAAGTTAAGCCAAAGTTGAAATTTGCACAGATTACATTATGTAATCTAGAAATAACCAGTTATATAACTGAAACCCTATGTAAACTGGCCCATTTTTAAAGGCTCCATTTATCTAGACAATGAATGCACTAATTAAAATAGTCCCTATTTAATTCTCAAGCAAAAAGAATTTTCCCTACAGAGAAGTACTGGCCTATAAACCAAATCTGAGTACATCAAATAATATTGCCTTTATCATCGTTTAAGCAGCTTTAATTCTATTGACTAAACTAGTAAAGTGTTCATTATAGTTCAAGTATGCTATGTAACAAAATGATTATACCACTGTATAATAAATCAAAATGGGTAAGAAGATAAAAAAAGGTAGCTGGTAAAATAAAGATCAATCAAGACACAAGAAAAAAAATAGGATGATTATTCATTTGTTCCATAGCTTATAACCACAATTTGAAAATAACTTTAACTGAAAGATCATATATTTTAGATACTTCTCTGCTGCAATGTCACACATTACCTGGACCACTCAATGTAACAACCCATCTCTCAATTTCCTTCCTATCCTGCTTTAATTTTTCTCCATAGCACTTACTATTGACTGACATATTAAGTATTTGTTTATTTTGTCTCCTCTTTCCCACCCTCTTCCCATCCCAAGGATGTAAAGACTTTGTCCCTTTTGCCCACTTTATGAGTCTTTGTGTGGAACAAATGATTCCATGTTTGGCTACTAACTAAACCTATTGCAGTGGAGTAAATTACCTAATATGGATTTTCCAGCCATAAGTCTTTGAAAACTCCATGGTGGAATTTGCCATGAGCAACTGAGTAGCTCCTGACTGTTAAAGTTATCCACCTGGAGTATTTCTGTTAAGTGTAGTACCAAGTAAGAGGAACGGTTGGTGAAAGGGCTGTAGGGAGGTGGCATGTCTGACCTCGCAGGGATAGACCTTGGGCTACTGATGGGGATTCTGTCTTCCTCTTGTGGGGTTAGAGGAGGTCAGAAGACGCAGCCTCCCTGCCTCTCTGGCACCTTTGCAGAATCACCTTGGAAGTAAAACCTGTGATCTGCTTCTGAAAGGTCAGTTTTGAAAACCCTCTGGAGCCCAGTTCTACTCTGCATACAGGGGATCACCACGAGTTGGAAAAGATTCAATAGCAACTGGTTTTCTTTTATTTCACTTCCAACACTAGATACACAGTAAGTATTTAGTAAAAATTTATTAACTAAATGAATGAAATATGCCTACAGAATTTTTAAATGTACTTTCAAGCAAAATAGATTATCTTTGCTTTGTTGAAAATCAAGATCTATCAGTTATATTGTCAAATATGAAGGAACTTCAGCTTGATAATCAAGTAATTCAACTAGAGAAGAAATGCCTTATATTTATTTATTTAATTTATGAACTAAAGTGAATGAGGGTTGATCATACATTGGTCATAAACAAAAAACGCTTAGTGTAATTCAGGGGTTCTCATACTTCAGTGTGTGTTGGAATCCATCGGGTGCATGATGCTGATGCGGCTGGTTGAATCCATAAACCAAGGGGCAAAAATAGCTGAGAATGGGTCTTACAAATAATTACACTGTGCTGAACAGTTTATTAGAATTGAGAGAGAGCTAGATGAAGAAAATAACTAAAACACTAATTTTAATATTGCCTCAGTCTCAATTTGTTAGTAACAATCATACAAAAAAAAAGTGAAACTCATACTTTAATGTCAGCAGTTAAAATTCATACAAAGAATTAAAACACATAGAACTACAAAATACTGAATATGCTTAGCTTCCAAGTAGAATTATTCTAAGTAGGTTTATGTCCTCATCCATCTGAGGCTCATTTAATATATAAAAAGAACAAAGCTGAAACCGTAAGTTAGCAATGATAGTAATTTAACAGGATTCAAACCTCAAATAAAGAAAATGTTTATCTGAAGTTCCTGACAAACCTATGTTTATCTTTAAGTCAGCAAGAGAAAATAGTAACTGAATACATCACATGAAATTCTACCTCACTCAAGGAGAACAAATAGAGCACTATAAATGGACTTCCTGGAATGATCATGGTGAGACAACTTTACTGAAGTACTAGAGGACTTGCTTGATGTTGAAATGATAACCTTGAGAAATCTAGGCTGGAAATGAAATGTATGGTTTGGAAGAAAATCTAGCCAAAATTAAAAGAGAATTTTACATAGTTACATTTGCCTCAAGTACCAGATAAATAACGTTCACCATCAGCATTTCCTACCATTTATAGAGCTCGCATCTTTATGAAGTTTCCTTTATAGTCAATAGCTCATTGTAACTTTAAAACTGGCAAAGGGCAAGACTGTAACACTCTGTGTTAAGAATCTTAACTGGGTTGCCCATTTGACTCAACAATGGAACCGATGTCTCAAATTCCTACTTCTTATCCCAACTCCGTGCATTTCTTCTCCAAATACATAGGTTAGAATGAGACATTATCTGAATACAACAATAATTTAAGTTTGCTTTAAGACATGGTCTCTGAAAAAGGAATGCAAACAAACAAGCAAAAAAATAAGGTATACTGGATTAAATAAACAAAAGAAACAAACAAAGAATGAAAGCATTAAAGCTTCACTCTGACAATGAACTTTTTAATAATCATAATCATTTCATAGTTTTAGGATAAATATAACAATAATCACCAAATCTCCTATTACTTAAAACCACAGTCTTGGGTTTGGTCATTTAATATTTAAAAAGCTGTAAGCAGACTAAATGACTGAATGATTTTAATAAGATAATAAAAACAAAATCCGCTGCCATCAAGTTGATTCCGAGTCATAGCAACCCAATAGGACAGAGCAGAACTGCCTCATAAGGTTTCCAAGGCTGTAAATCTTTACGGAAGCAGACTGCCTCATCTTTTGCCTGTGGAGTGGCTAGTGGGTTCAAACTGTGGACATTCTGATTAGTAGCCAAATACCTTAATCATTTCACCAACAGAGCTCCTTAAGATAAATAGTAGTAAAAAAATAATTGCTTGAAAAAGAGTGAACACAGAAAAAATTTAAAGCAGATGCAAAGCTATACCATGTATTAAAGGGCAAAGTTACACGGTCAGATAAACCGTAATCCACATCCTGAAGAAAGCAGGACAATGTTCTTTTCATTCATTGTTTGGTTTATTTGGAGGGGTTTAGGATGGGAGAAGCTGCCATGAAAATATCTGAAGTTTAATGTTAGCTCTCTGGAAAATTCAATTACATGAATCACTGAATGTGGGGAATATTAGTGACAAATGACAGTAACAAATGCATCATACTTAAAATACTTAAAGAATCAGAGGTATAGCTACATATATGTAACAAGGCTTCTCCACTGGCCTCAGGAAGCTTCCTTATGAGTTGACCTCATCAATGTTTTTTATCTTCGACCAGGTAATGTTTTTTTAAAAGATGCTGTGACTCCAACAGCATATCAAGAAAATCATTCATCATGACCAAGTGGGGTTCATACCAGG